AGGGACATCTAGGTTGCTTACATTTTCTGACTATAATGAGTAAACCTGCTATGAACATAGTTGAACAAATATACTTGTGGTAGGATGGAGCATCTTTTGGGTATATGCCCAAGAGTGGTATATCTGGGTCTTGAGGTAAATTGATTCCCAATTTTCTAAGGAACCAGAAAACTTCTTGTACTTTGATAGGCATCTTCTTCTTTAGGTTAGGAAAATTTTCATTTATGATTTTTTAAAAATAATTTCTGGACCTTTGAGCTGATATTCTACTTCCTCTATTCCAATTATAGAGAAGGGCAGATGGGAGTGGTCTGTGATATCTACAGGAGGTGTCAACAGGATGGGAGGAAACTGTAACACTAGGGGCAACCCTGAGTATTAGGTCTCAGGTAACAGAGAGTGGGGAAGATCTGGAGGCATCCTCCCTGGTCCTATACCCAACCTCTCAATACTGAGGCATTAGGTTCCCAGGAATCATTTATTTACATCTATATTTATTTAGGTTTTTATTGTTTTTTATCTGTAAAACAGCTTGTTTTGAACTAAAAAGTACTATGTGGTCTGGGCAGGTCACTCCGCAAATACTCGTTTTGGGGTTAACATTAGTTACCAACACCTAACTCAAGTTGAGAGGCTCATAACCACCTGGTACTCCATATCTGACACCCTTTTTTGGCATGTCACCTGTACACACATGGAGGACATTCTTTCTCACAGACACAAACATATGTATAAAAACAAGGGTAGATATGTTTTCAAAAGCAGTTAATTCAAAACAAGTTGTTTAGGTGTATAAAACAAATACACTGTTTCTTTTAAAATCTACTTTCTTGCATTTGGTTTTTAAGAGTTTGCATTTCATTACACTGGTGTTGACTTATACTGAATCACCAATCATAGGAAACAAAATGCTTTCTAAGTGATACTAATAGACATCCTTTTCTTTATTATAAGAGGATGAGATACTTTTAGTAGTCAGAATTATTTTCTCCAATGTTGAGACATTTGTATGCTTTAAGATAATCTCTCCAATTGGGTAGCTCTCCATCCTTAATCTATTTAACATTAGTGGCAAAGGAGAGAACCTGAGTTCACAGTGTAATTGCTGGCAAGTGATTTTTTTTAATTATGAATTTGACTGTAATTCTATAGTTTTTGTTTAAAGGACTTTGTTATATTTATAGGTCTGGCTTTGTGTCTTATTTTATTTGTGGTGCCATGTATATTGTGTGATTTTATTAATTATAATTTAATTATATTGTTGTTTCTCTGGCAAATGATAGACCTTCACCTATTTTTGTCTTCTGAAAATTTACCGTATTATGTCACAAGTTCCTTCAGTTTTTGTTAATTGTTGTTTCTTTGTTTTGTTTGTTTATTTGTTTTGGTTTTTTGAAACAGAGTTTCTTTGTGTAGCCTTGGCTGTCCGGGACTTGCTTTGAAGACCAGGCTGGCCTCAAACTCACAGAGATCTGCCTGCTTCTGTTTCCCAGAGTGCTGGGATTACAGGTATGTGCCACTGCACCTGGCTAGTTTGGAGATTTTCTGTGGAGAAAGTTTCTGTGGAGTTTTTAGTTTTCTCATCTTGATTCTAAAGGCTGTGTCTCCTCATTTCTTGCCAAATCTGTGTTTTTGAGCTGTTGCAACCATGAATATTTAGGTTTTTGCTACTTAAGTGATTGATACAATTAACACATTGGTTTTGGGTTTTTTAAATGTTCTCATATATTATTGACTCTTTGTCCTACATAGCTTCAGCTCTTAACATTTCAGAGCCTACAGTCATCTAAGGGAGCCTCAATTGAGGGCATGCTCCCAACAGAATGATTGGTTGCTGCATCTGTGAGAGATTGTGTTGATTGATGGTTGATGTGCGAAGGCTCACTGTGGGTGGCAGTACTCCTAAACAAATAGGCCTGGAATGGCTAAGAAAACTACCTGAGCATGAGACAGTGATCAAGCAAGAAAGCAAGCCCAAAACAATGTTTGTCCATGGTTTTGCCTTCATTTTCTAGCTTGAGTTTCTATCCTAACCTACCAAAATGGACTGTGATCTGACAGAACCATCCAAAAAAATTCATCCATTACCTGAGATGCTTTTGGTTAGAGGATTCAATCACAGCAGCAAACAAGCAAGTTAGAACAAAAAATGGTATGCAAAAAGTGATTTTGTTTCTGCACATAACCTGGGAATGTTCTCTTTTGGAGGAATGTGGAAAATATCAGAAATTGAGATGGCAAAAAGGCACAGAAAGCTGTGTACGGAGCTTAATCAGCTGTTCTTGCAAGATCTGGAAGATCTGAGTATTGAGAATAATGCAGACAGAGGAAGTTGAGGTCATAGTATTTCAGTGGAAAATAGACTCTATGAAAAATTTAACTAGAGGTCATTTATGTGATATTTTGGCTCAAAATTGTTTTTATTCTGCTTATACCCTGAGAAATTGAGTAGAACAGAAGTTTAAAATAATGGGCTGATTTCTTAAATAAAATATTGAGTATGTTGGCTGGTAATCACTGGTGATTCATTCAGGACTACAATGAAAAAAGCAATAAGTGGGGCAGAAATAAATGCAGTCTGTAGTTTGTAGAGGAAAATAGCACTAGGTAGTTTATGATGGCAGTCAAATGGTGAATAAGAAGCAGGAATATTCAAAGAAAAAAGAAGAGCGGGCCCTTACTCTTGATTGGAAGCCCAAGAAGGTGCCTTATGGGTAACACTCCCTCCTGTTAAGTCCCAAATTAATGAAAGGATTATGTAAAGTGATTCCTAGTCCCAGGAAGAAACTTCATATAAAATCTGCTGCAGCTGGGTGTGGTGGCACTTGCCTTTAATCCCAGCACTCGGAGAGGCAGAGGCAGACTGGTCTCTGTGAGTTCAATGCCATCCTGGCCTACAAAGTGAGACCAGGACAGCCAAGACTACACAGAGAAACCCTGCCTCAAAAAATAAAATGCAACAACAACACCTGCTGCAACTGTGGTCCAAGCATGGCAAGGTCCATCCAAACTTAGAAGCCAAACTTGATAGGATTACCCATATTGTGCTGGTTCTGGAAACAAGAAAGATGCAAAATTCAAGGTCATGGCTTCTTCTTCTGTGGTTTTAATTCAAAACAATTCCCGCCATTTATGTTTGGCAGAGTCAGAGCCCCAGTGAGGATACTGTAAGAGTTCACTGCATTGAAGCTGTGAGGATGAAGCTTGAGTTGCATTTTGAGATCACAGGCTATTGATATACTTAAGCCATTGAGAAATCTTATAGAGAGTGGAAGTAACAAAACTGAGAAATGTATGAGAAGTTACAGAGTTAGGGCCACCTAAGCCCTTTGAAACTGAAGTCCCATGTGTCTGAGACAGCTACTGATTTGGTGTTTGTCATGCTGGGTTTCTTGCCTGTTGGAGACTATTAGGATCATTAAAGTTAGACTAAATGCATTTTCATCATGGGATGACCATGAGCCTGTAGTGACCAGGGTCAGAATGCACTTGATTGAATAAAAAAGCTCTCAGATAGGATGATGTCTTTGAACATTTATCGACAGGTAAGTGTGGCTTTCTTTGGAGAGCTCATAAAAGCTTTTGAAGGAAGAACCTTTCTAGATTCCTTACTGGGGATGGGATTTGAGTGTTTACATGCATTAACCCATTTCTTCTTCTTTGTTTCTACTGTCTTGTGGTTGAAACTGGTCAGCTTCCTTCTCATGCTGTCATGCATTTGCCATTATAAACTCTATCCCTAAATCACATATGATACAGTAGAAGCAATTGTTATTCAGTGCTATTTTACTAGCCTGGTGTTTTTATATTTTTACTTTTGTTTTTTTTGAAGACAAAGTTTCTCTATGTAGCCCTGGTTGTCCTGAAAGTAGGTATGTGGAACAGACAGACCTTTTTTTGTTTTTATACTATTGGTTGATAGGCCTAGAATGTAGGTTTTTGTACATGCAAGCATATGCTGTTGTGTAGATCTTCATCCACATCTTGAATTTTGAAATTTGGCAGAGTATATTCTATTTCTCAGGATGGCATGTATTCATGACATTAATACTACCTGAGCCTTCTGAGTTATTGGACTGCAGGTGTATGACATTCTTCCTAACTGTTGTGTTTTATTTTATTTTTTTAATGAATATGAGTATTTTGACTGTATGCATGATTATGTATATCATGTGTACCTCATCTTCACTATAGTCAGAAGATGGCCTCAGAACTCCTGAACTTGGACTAATGGATAGTTGTGAGCCCCCATGTAAATGCTGGCAATTGACCCCAATTATTTGCAGGACCAGCAAGAGCTCTTAATTGGTTAGCCATGTCTCCTATGCTATTTATTTATGATCAACATTTATATTGTTAATATTTTCATCTGTCCATTTGTAAGTGTTTAAACATACATTCCCGTTTAGTAAAGTCTTATTAATGTTACAGTTTAAACTGGGACATTTCATGTTTCTGCAAGATGAATACAGAAATGGAGTGGTTCTTTCTATCTTTTTTGTTTTGATTGAGTTTTGCAGGGAGTAATGGTCTTAATATATACCTCTTACTATCCTGGAATTTGTTGCATAGACCAGACTGGCATACAACTCAATGAGATACACCTACCTCTGCCTCCTGAGTGCTTAGATTAAAAGCATGAGCAAATCTACCCAATTTTCCCATCATTTTTATAGTTAGTAATTTTTCATATAACCTCTGATATATGCTCAGTATTGTTGATCTGTTGCTTTTCTTTCTCTCTTTTTTTTTCTCTCTCTGTTATTTGGCATTTCTCTTGCAAGGCCATATCTTATTCAAAGGGTACACAAATGACAGAGGTGAACATTATTATTCAGTTTTCCTCTAAAATGACTTGATGATTACATTAGAACTTCTATGTCAGAAAATGAGTGCAGGAAGAACTGGAATTATATGACTATATGTTAATGAAGTATACATTTACAGTGATATCAGTATCATGCTTTTTGTTGTATACATGTATGTATGGTATATTTTAGGTAACAGTGACCTATGATGATGTGCATGTGAACTTCACTCAGGAAGAATGGGTTTTGCTGGATCCTTCCCAGAAGAGTCTGTACAAAGATGTAATGCTGGAGACCTATAGGAACCTCACTGCTATAGGTAAGACTGAATTTATTTTTTTCACTTTTTAAAATAAGAGGACAAATGTTTCTTTGTTATTGAAGCTCTTCTGTAATTTCAATTGAGAATGAAGAATGAGATGAATAAATTAGGCATGGTTCTAAAGTTTACTGAATATAGTAACTTAAATTTTGCCTAATTTCCAATAATATGTCATTTTCTGGTACTATATTTTAGGGTACAATTGGGAAGACCATAATATTGAAGAACATTGTCAAAGTTCTAGAAGACATGGAAGGTAATTTTCATGTGCAAGGTGATACGAATATACCTCTGAAGAAATTTTAATGTGCCCTGGAAGTTTTAAAGAAAAGCAACAGTGTAAAAAAAATCACTGCTTTAAAAGTGTAGTGATTTCATTTCCATACAACCATATACCTTAATGTCAGGTATCTGATTTGTGTTTGCAAGGCATTCCTCTAAGAAAAAAGACAAGGAAACAATGCCTTAAAAGATACCACCATTTGAATCAGCCCCATTAGAGCTATGATATAGAACTGCAAATCTCATACCACTTAGATATTGCAAAAGGTATATATATTGAATAGGAGATAAGTATATGTCCAAAGCTTTCTAATATGCAAATAGTCCATAATAAAGCTGGCATTACTCTTATACTTGTAGCAACATTGCTAAGTTTAGTGAGAGTCAAGTATGTTTTTGTGGAGGAATCTTAATCCCATACCATGTGTCTATGAGGAACAAAAATGTCAAACTGTGTGAATGCAATGTAGAATCCTTCTGTTTGTTATTCTTCTTTTAATAGGATTATCATATGTCACAATGGATATAAGCCACGTGAGTGTAGGGATGTTAAAAGAAGCAAGTATCTCTCTCTAACCCCAGAACATTAGATGTGTAGTAGTCCCCACTTTGAGTAGACTTTCTGAATGTGATACAAGTTTGCAATTAATTGGTGCTCCAACATTTTTAGGAACAGCCACAACCTCACACTGTAGAAAAACCCTGGGTACTAGGAATGTGGAAATAATTCTGGTTCATTTTGCAAATGTTGTATGACTCACACTATGGAAAAATTTATGAGTGTAATCAGTGTGGTAGAGCTCTGAGTTCTTCCAGTTCTCTTCAAATATGTGAAAATCCTGATATAGAAAAAGGATGCTATGTGAGCCACGTAATAAATGCTCTTGCCATCACAGATATCGCCAAAGACACAAAACAATCTATAATGAAGGGGAACACCATGAATGTAAACAAGCGGATAAAACCTTAAGATCTGATTCTTCTTTACCATTAGATCAAATTGTAAAATTAATTCATACAGATAAAAAGATGCATCAGTATAATGAATGTGATAAAGCTTTTATGTGTAACAATTATCTTCACAGGCATGAAAGAACACATACTGGAGAGAAACCCTATGAAGGTATTCAATATGGTGAAGTCTTTGCACATCACAGTAGTCTCCAATATCATGAAACAATACATACTGGAGAGAAAACCTATGAATGTATTCAATGTGGTAAAGCCTTTGCAAGTGACAGAAATCTTAAAAGGCATGGAAGAATTCATACAGGAGAGAAACCCTATGAATGTATCCAATGTGGTAAAACCTTTGCATGTCACAGTGGTCTCCAATATCATAAAAGAACACATACTGGAGAGAAACCTTATGAATGTAATCAATGTGGTAAAACCTTTGCATGTCACAGTGGTCTCAAATATCATAAAATAACACATACTGGAGAGAAACCCTATGAATGTAATCAATGTGGTAAAGCCTTTGCACATCACAGTCTTCTTCAAATACATAAAAGAACACATACTGGAGAAAAACCTTATGAATGTAACGAATGCGGCAAAGCCTTTGCACATCATAGTTATCTTCAAATACATAAAAGAACACATACTGGAGAGAAACCTTATGAATGTAACCAATGTGGTAAAGCCTTTGCAAGTCACAGTAATCTCCAATATCATAAAATAACACATACTGGAGAAAAACCCTATAAATGTAATCAGTGTGGTAAAGCCTTTGCACATCACAGTCTTCTTCAGATACATAAAAGAATACATACTGGAGAGAAACCCTATGAATGTAATCAATGTACTAAAGCCTTTACAAGTCACAGTCATCTTCAAATACATAAAAAAACACATACTGGAGAGAAACCCTATGAATGTAATCAGTGTGGTAAAGCCTTTGCATGTCACAGTGGTCTCAAATATCATAAAAGAACACATACTGGAGAGAAACCCTATGAATGTAATCAATGTGGTAAAGCCTTTGCAGGTTACAATCTTCTTCAAATACATAAAAGAACACATACTGGAGAGAAACCCTATGAATGTAATCAATGTGGTAAAGCCTTTGCGAGTCACAGTTATCTTCAAAGGCATGAAAGAATTCATACAGGAGAGAAACCCTATGAATGTACTCAATGTGGTAAAGCCTTTGCAAGTCACAGTTATCTCCGAATACATAAAAGAACACATACTGGAGAGAAACCCTATGAATGTAACCAATGCGGCAAAGCCTTTGCATATCACAATCTTTTTCAAGTACATAAAATAACACATACTGGAGAGAAACCCTATGAATGTAATCAATGTGGTACAGCCTTTGCACATTACAGTCATCTTCAAATACATAAAAGAACACATACTGGAGAGAAGCCTTATGGATGTAACCAGTGTGGTAAAACCTTTGCAAGTCACAATGGTCTCAAATATCATAAAAGAACACATACTGGAGAGAAGCCCTATAAATGTAATCAATGTGGTAAAGCGTTTACAAGTCAAAATCTTCTTCAAATACATAACAGAACACATACTGGAGAGAAACCCTATGAGTGTAACCAATGTGGTAAAGCCTTTGCACATCATAGTCATCTTCAAATACATAAAAGAACACATACTGGAGAGAAACCTTATGAGTGTGACCAATGTGGTAAAACCTTTGCACAAAACAGTCATCTTCAAACACATACAAGGACACATACTAGAGAGAAACCTTATGCATGTAATCAGTGTGGTAAAGCCTTTTCATGTCCAAAAAGCCTCCAGTATCATAAAAGAATACATCCTGGATAGAAACAATATGGTAAAGCTTTGGAAGTTATAATCGTCTCATAAATCATAAAAGAATACATATTGAAGAGAAACCTTATGAACGTAATTGATGTGGTAAAGCCTTTACAAGCCAGTCTCCTTCAAATACATAAAAGAGCATATACTAGATAGCAGCAAACCAATGAATGTAACCAATATAGTAAAGCCTTTACATGTCACAATGGCAGGTTGTGATGGTTGATAACATTGTATTCACAGTCAGCAACCAGAGAATGATAAATATTGGTCCTCATTAAATAATCCAATGCTAAGTCCATGGAATGGAATGGTGCTATCACTTCTGGAAATGTAGAGTCTTCTTATTTCAATGGACTTGAAAGCTAATTTCCAAGCTAATTTCTCAGAAGTACACACGTGAGACTAACACAATCTAGATAAATCTTCAAAGGAGGATTGTCTCCTGGGTGGTTCTAGATCTTGTCATGTTGTCAATATTAACCATCACACACAATAAAGTTTGCTTTGTTGACTGCTGTTGGAAGGACCTTGCTGTTTGAGTTTGTAGTCCTCCCAGTCTAGGTAGCCATTTTGAGCTCAGGGCTATATTGGGAGAAGGAAGGGTCCTTCTCCCAATCAGGGCCTCCTACACTCAGCCTAACCTCATCTGGAAAGTGTCTTTGGGCATTGATACGTCTAACCATGTCTGATATGTGGCTTTTGACATAGTTCCCTGCTAGCTCTCCCCTCCCTGTGTCTACAGGTACTATGTTCCCATTCATATGGTAGGAATGTACTGCCAAATGCAAATAAAGAATCCCTGAGATGCCTAATTTCAACCAATTATGTACACCAGACCGGGGATCCCTCTACCCACTCTCCCAGGGGTATGTGGGCTTTGTTCTCCCTGAATAAAGCTGAATTATTTCCCTGATGTGGTTTCCACATGTCATTTCCTTCATGCTCTTGGCCTTCTGAGCCTTGTACTTATCCTGATCCTCCTGTCATCCTGGGCTGGTGGCCAACAGCCCCACAGGAAAAAGAACCACAGCTGGTACCCAAGACAGGGCTCTGGACTGCACTAGGACAGGTGAACACCTCCTAAAAACAGGGTAGTAGCACTTTGCCTGACCTTTCTGTCCTGAGAACTGATTGCTTTCTTTCTTTGCTTTGCAAATTTATGCTCATTAGGGCTTTTCACTCTCCTGAACTGATCAACCTGGGAAAGTTAAACTTGCCTTGGGGATGTTAAATGTTTCTAACAGCACCTTTTTTTTAATTATGGGGAACTCAAGATAACATCAGAGAAATGTCCAAATTCACTCCCTCAGATCTTTGCTTAAATCTAGAGGACTTAAATCACCCAAAAGGAAGGCTTAGAATTCTGGAATGAAGCATTCCAATTCGAACCTTGGGTCCTATCAGCACTTATCTGGTTTGTAAAAAAGAAGCCCAGGTAGGGTATAATTTGTCTCTTTATGACAGTGAAAAGAAAAAAAAACAATTATTAATGAAAATTGAAAGTATATTAACATGTTCAGTGATGACGATATAAGGTAACTAATACATCCTTGGTATTCTAAAAGGTTTAGATAGAAGCCAAGAGATATGCACAACTAAGTAACCTAACCAAGCCATATAATTTTTTTTCCCATCCGTAAATCCCTCCCCTATTCTCAGCTCCTTTCTCTCCTGCAAGGTATTCAGAAAATGAGTTGCTGTTTATTCAGCAGAGCTTTCACCTGGAGCAAACAGTCTTTTCCTAGAATGAGATTCCAAGGGAAATTTGAATTTCATGGGGTTCACTGTTTCAATAGATGTTAGCCTAAGGGAGAGATATAAATGTCTTGTTAGAATATCCTTATTCGTAACAGAGAGGCAGATTACAGGGATGACAGAAAGGGGACTGAAGGTCTTGAAGGTTCAACTGGAGATCACTAAGTGGGTGTCTGCAGGGTGCTGTCACTGCCAGCTACATGTAGTTGCCAAGAAAAGAGTGGAAGACCTGGAAGTGCTGACCCACCGCAGCTCAGTGGACAAGAATACAGTAGCATCCAGCTTAGGTACAACCCAAACATTGCTCTCTGGCCTTGTAATCTTTTCGCACCCAGACCTCCTTCACAGTTCATCCATACTCTGCAGCTCTTTGTAAATGCCTGATTCCCTCAACTTTAGTGACTTCTGTTGAGTCTCAGGTTCCCCTGACAACCTTCATGTCATCTGGAGTCACCACCACTCCGGATCTTAAATGAATGTTTATCAGGCATCAGGGACACAGAATACAATACCATTCAGAGAAGTCAGTCTTTATGTCTGCAAGCTCCATTTTTCTCTTACATTAAGCATACACTCCAGCAGGGGTACATGTGACATATTTCTTTGTGGGTTCCTGTTGCTATCACATGTGAGATAAATTCAGTCTTTGGTGAAGTGGTCAGCTACATTTTTAAACTTGTATAAGTTTTTCTCCAGATCAGTTTTTGGACACGTCTCTAATTCTGTGAAAATTTGGGCTGAGAAATTTCTTTAAGCACCAGTCTAAGTTATTTTCTGATGCTATCTATTTTATATTTCTTCTGGATCTTCAGGGATGAGGTAAAGATGAAACTTAGAATCAACCATTCATACCTAACTGCTATTAATGCCACATTCACAGGGCTGAATAGTTGGCTCAGCCCCTAAGAGCACTGGCTGCTCATCCTCAGGACCGAGATTTGATTTCCAGCATCCAAGAGACAGCTCACAACTGTCTGTAAGTCCAATCACAGGGGATCAGGCCCTCTCTTCTGGCCAGCAATGATAACCTGGCATGCAGTTGGTATACACAGTGGCAAAACTTATTAAACTTGATTAAAAAAATAACATACAGATGAAGAAAACCTGTTTTAAAATATGGTATCACATATGTATATGTCTTTTTACCATTTTAGCTTATCTGGTGCCCTTAGAGGCCAGAAGAATGCAACAGATGTCCTGTACCTGGAAATACAGGTAGTTCTGAGCCATCTGATGTGGGCGTTAGGAGCCAAAATTTGGCAGGCAAAAGAAGCAAAACTACTAAGTCTGCAGCTCCTTTACTCCTTCTGTCTCCTATCACTTGAAGGTGATGAAGTCCCTGTTAGATTAGGGATTTCTATCCCTCTGTGAATGGACTCTCCACATTGCTTATTTTCATTGTTAATGTGAGTAAAGATAACAAAATGTTTTGTTGAAACTAGTAGACTGTATTAGAAAAAAATCTTTATAATTTGAGATTTACTTTCTTTTTGGAGTTCTTTTGAAACAGGGTATCTCTACATAGCTATGGTTCTCTTGGCACTCACTATGTGGATCAAGCTGGCCTCAACCTCAGACAGATTGGCTTGCCACTCTCTCCCAAGTGCTGGGATTACAGGGATGGCTATCTTTGAATCAGAGAATGGATAAAATAAGATTTAAAAGGAAATCAGCAATTGTTTTGATGAATGGTAATACTTCTTGAAATTCTACAATAATATAAACTAAAAATAATTTCATATTTTCTCTATAACTGAGTTATTTTCTTTGTCTTGTTAATTTTAGCCATTTAAAAATGTTTGAAATGTTTCTGTGTGTATACACCTGTACCATGGCATGTATGCAGCAGTGAAAGGACAACTTATTGGTGTTTATTATGTACTTTTCCTATGTGAGTTCTAGGGACAAAATCCAGGGAGTCATTTGGTTCAAGTGACCTCACTGGACCTTATTTGGGTTCAAAAATTATTTATCTATGTTCTAGTGTATGAGTGTGCATATGCCACAGCCCAAATGTGGAAATATCATAAAAATACCTAGGCACAATATAGGTCTTCTAAGGATTGAACTCAGGTTATCAGGCTTAGCAGAAACCAACTTTTGCAAATGAGACAATTCTCTGACATTTGCGGTTATGAAAAAGTGTTATGAACAAGTTTTATTTCTAAGAATAAGCTAACACATTCAAAAAAAATTTAGCAGTATATCATTTTCATTTGCAAATAGGATTATTCAAATTGTCCTGCTTACTTCATCCTTAGATGACAATATGTTTATAATCTAAAAGGAAGACAGTATTTTACTGATGTACTGTTTCAACTAATCTTATTTGTGCATCAGTGAGATGGCTTAGTGGGAAATGTCATGGCCTAAAAACCCATAAATACATCATACACACACACACACACACACACACACACACACACAAAGACACATTGACATCCATAATTAAAATTAAAACAAATTGTTAAACACATTTTTAGTCATGTTTTTATTGCATTTATTCTAAGCATTTATTTCTATAACTCAAGTGTTGAGGAATCTAAAGGCTTACCTACAGTTTTTCTTCATCATGAACTGGTTCATCTCACAGAAAATAAGCATGTAAGCATTTAAGAGAAACCAATCCTTCTCAATTGGTGGTATCATTTGGGGAAATTTTAGGAAATGTTGCCCTGCTGAAGGAAATATGTCACTTGGGGTGGGCTTGAGTGTTTACATCCATACAGCATTTCTAGTTCCCACTCTCTGCTTCATGCTGCAGGTTGAGAATGTGGGCTTCCCACTTTAGCTGCCATGTATGACATTTGTGATGCCAATTTCATAATGATCCTATGTCCCTATGGAACCACAAGCCAAATTAAACTTTTATACATTGTCTTAGACATTATGTTTTATTACACAACAGAAAAGGCACCACTACACATCCTAAGCAGACCTCATAACACAAAGGCATTGAGTACATCCATAAGGTTTCCCTCCAGTGTGTGTTCTTTTCTGCATTTGGAGATAACTGTGAAGGGCAAAGGCTTTACAACATTGCTTACATTCATAGGGTTTCTCTCCAATATGAATACTTTTGTGATAATGAAGACTATAATGTGCAAAGGCTTCACCATGTTAAATGCATTCATAGTATTTCTTTCCAGTATGATTTCTTACATGCCTTTGAATATCACTGTGACATACAAAAGCTTTACTACATTGGTTATATTCATAGGGTTTCTCTCCATTATGTATTCTTTTATGTATTTGGAGACTTTTGTGATGTGAAAAGGCTTTATCACACTGATTACATTTGTAGGGTTTCTCTCCAGTATGTGTTCTTTTATGTACTTGAAGATAACCATGATATGCAAAGGCTTTACCACATTGGTTACATTCATAGGGTTTCTCCCCAGTATGTGTTCTTTTATGTATTTGAAGATAATCATGATATGCAAAGGCTTTACCACACTGATTACATTCGTAGGGTTTCTCTCCAGTATGTGTTCTTTTATGTATTTGGAGACAACTGGGTTGTAAAAAGGCCTTATCACATTGATTACATTTGTAAGGTTTCTCTCCAGTATGAAATCTTTCATGTCTTTGAAGTTGACCATGATGTGCAAAGGTTTTACCACATTGGTTACATTTATAAGGTTTCTCTCCAGTATGTGTTTTTTCATGTATTCGGAGATAACTGTGTTGTGAAAAGGCTTTATCACATTGATTACATTTGTAAGGTTTCTCTCCAGTATGTGTTCTTTTATGTTGTCGGAGACTACTGAGA